TGTTAGCAAAAATGCAGTGATGTGGCTTGCATACTGCAAAAAATATTAGTAATTACTCATATATTAAAGATTTAGTCTTAATTACTGGCTTACAATACCACAAAGCCAGAACTGTATACTCACTAATACCTATACTAATATGCATATACTCTTTGCTAAGTAGTAATTTTGAAATATAGTTAGATTCTGATAACTATAGTCACAGTTCAAGAGTGGTGCTAACAAAATAATGCTAGTATTTAAAAACTAACTAGCATCAGAATCGCTATATTCCTGCCAACTGAACTTAATTGGCTAGATAAAACAATTCAAACATTCTTGTACTTGAACTAAGCAACTGTGATAAAAACAAGTTAAAAGACAGCCAGGTTGATGCAATGTAAGGAAGACTTACTTGCTTCTATTTAGCCCTAAAATGGTATGACTTAATTCTATTACATGAGAAAAAAAAAAAAGGAATTTTCTTGTGTGCATGCTGCTAGAACACACCATAACAAATCATAAAAACAAGTGAGTAAAACACCTCAACACACTGTCCTAGGGAGAGTATAGCAACAAGTTGGCTCCATAATTCCTGTTTGAACAACAGTTTCTAAAATTTTTGTCCATCCAGCCCACCTCTGCAATAAGGTAGAGCACACTGTAATGCTGCTGCAGCACAGTGGAAACCAACCCGCTGTGCCTACCTGACAGCAGTTCCGCTAACAATCTACTCTCAAAAGGAGAAAAATCCTTCAATATTGCTTTTTGAAAGGGGGAAATTTATTTTTACTCCTCATTGGGTTTAACACCCAGAGCAGATGTCTGTAGTTGGAAAATTTCAGAGGCTTTGAGACAATGAGCATTTTTCTAATAAGTGATTCCTTTATTGAGTTCTTAAAATGGATTCAGACTGAAGGTGTCTTTTCTACAAAATTATGACCATAGTCTCACCATGATTACTTTTGAAAGAAATATGACAAGATCATAAATTACACCTTAAAAACAGGGAGTCCAGCATTTGAAAACAGCTAAAAGTCCTTGTCATAGCACCTTACGTGCACCATTTTATCACTTCTTTCCCCTCCTATGTGATACGGTTTTGGGGGTTTTTTTCCCTTTTTTCCTCTCTCAGCCAAGGTAAAAGCCAAAGCAGGCTCGGGGAGCGATGTGAGCGGCACCTGCAGCAGCGGGAGCCGAGGCTGCCCGGGCCGGGAGCGGCCGCGGCCCAGGCCTGCCGGCCGGGATGAGGAATGATGTCGGTGCGGCCGGACAACGGTAACCCTGGCAACTGTAACCTGCAATTCCTGCCTAACCATTGTGGGATTTATTGTGGCAGGGGCCAAAGAGGCCAAGAGTAAAATGAAGCAGAGAACTATGGTGTCTGACACATCTAGTACCACACACTTTAATCATAGCTGGCAGAAATTAATTCGGGAGGAATTTTTGCAAGGGCCCCCCGTACAGCCTGTTTTGTTGTTGCTGCTGCTGTTCTGGCCTAAGATAGTTTTTTAAAGTTTTTTTTTGTTTAGTACTTTTTTCCTGTAATTATTTGTTTAGAATTTTTTAAATGACAGACATGTCAAAATTGATGTTTATTAATCAGACTACATCAAGTTTTGGAGCTTTTTCCTTTTAGATGAGAAATATTTAGATGAGATGTGTACCTTTTAGTATGTACACATACTAAAAAAAACATATATAAGACCACATTTGCTACAAAGGTTGATTTTTTTATTTCCCCCTGAGGCAAACATTGCCTAACTTATACAGATATTAGTCAGTAAAGAAACTTAACCACATTCCAAACACAAGAAATGTAAATCAAAAGGGACGCTTACGTACTTCAATAACCTTTACATGCCACTGATTAATAAAGGTATTTTTTAAAACTAAACTTTCAAACAGCTTGGGTCCAGCACTCAGTATCCTGCAGCAAACAGCAATCAATGAACTGCGATCTAACCAGCCAAAGTAAGCAGTCAAAATCTATTTGCCTCAGATAAGCACTCCCTAGGCTGTGGTCATTCTCTGTGCTAAGGTACCATCCCTGATTCTACACAACGTGGCATGAGTGAGCATGCAGGTCACCAAAGAATGCTCCTCCTTGCACGAATACTACTTGTTGAGCAAGAACTTATCATCCCAGAGGATTTTAAACAGCACCTTTAAAATAAAGGTATTGCATCAAAACAGGGGTTCATATACATTGTTTTTTGAGAGATTGCTTGCAAGGTAAGATTAATATACCCTATAGAACCCTTCATGCTATTTTTAGCATTAACTACTTCCTACTGAAATATTTATGCCAAAACACCTCTGTAGATAGCTGTTAATGGGAAAATCAGCTTATGTTTTGACTAAAATTATCCATTTTAACTAGTTCCAGGAGATTTCCTGGAAGGCTGATAAACTGGAAAGAAAGTAGCCTGAAAAATAATTTAACTACCTTTGAAATTAAGTGTCTTTAGACACAGAAAATAATGCACTGTCTCTTTTAAATTCTCAACCTATTGCTTTCCTTTACTTACACTTCCCATCTGTCAACAAGTGCTTGTAATTTTATTACACTGTCCTGTAGTTTATGCAGAGTTGGTATTATTTTACAGAGTTCTGTTAATGGACTGGATAAATGGTAATGCTATTTAAACTAGTCTCCTGCTCCAGCAAACACAGCTGCAACTGTACTACTATTTCTAGGCAAACATCTTGACCTGAACACGCAGTGCTCTCTCAACCCGTCCAAAGAGAAATTGGAGCAGACAGCAAAGGGAAAGCATAGCCGTCCGCTGGCGGCAACCAACTGTGTCGAATCATAATTCATATACAGTGTAACCTCTTTCTTTTATATTGCATTTAGCCTACACAACAAGCATATGTGCTTCTTCACCTGGCATCTCATTTACAGCCAAGGGTCAAATGGTAATTATTATTCACAGAAGCTCAATAGTATGTTGAAACCTTGCTGTACACACATTGTTTGATTAGCTGTTAAGTGCCAAAAATAAACCCAAAGCAATGTACATATATATATTATTTATCATGTTTAGAGAATTTAATTCTCCTTAGAAAAATATTTATTTGGATGTAAATACATCTAAGCATATACAACAATATATGTAAAAAAAACCAAACCACTTTATACTCTTCAAAGGGAACAAGCTACATATTAACTGGAAACTGACAACAAACAGTTCTAACATCAGTGCCATTGTTGGCCTGGCAGTTTTTAATTACAAATTTAGCGCTAAGCAGCTGTAGTTTTTTACTATCATTCATATTTTCTTTTAAACATGAATACATTATAACCAGACATTCACTTTCATGGTCTGATCAACAATAACCCTTAGGCAGAGGAAATTTAATACTGTGAAGCCAGTGATCTCTTACTTTCCTCCATATATGCTATAAGCAGTTGTGTGCTTTATGTCAAAGGACTTTATTGATTTAAGACTAGCATCTATCAAATACACAATTCTGAAATAAATACATTCAAATATAATTTTGACTACAGTGTGTATCCATTTTTTGCCTGCAAATTATGGCTCATTTCTATTTTATATGAATCTAGGTAGCAACCATTACACTGTAGGCGGAATAATAAAATGATCATAAATCCCTTTCATTTCCTTCCTGATAGAAGTAATGTCTTTATCCCAGCTGATGGAAATTATAAGAGACTCAGTTGTTAATATATAATATCATATTTGAATATATTATAATATTATAGCAGAGCAAAATATTTTTGTTTTTCAGGAAAAAAGCCTTCAGCATCTTTCTGGCCTTGTCATTTAACAACTCATTACTTCTATAGGGAATTTCTGGAAACAAATTATACATTTCTAGCAAGGGAATAAAACAAGATACACAAAGATAAATGTTTACAATAACAGGGGTAATTTTGAGTTTGCTATCGTATATTGCTACAAGAAAGGAGAAAAGAACTATTATTTCACAATAATAAAACAAAAAATCAACTAAAAAAAGCATCACATTTGTTCTCAAACATAATTCCATGTACTTAAGTAGAAACAAGAGAAATCCTGCTTTCCTCCAACTTCAATTTTCTTTTTCTAAGCACACAAGTGATGAAACCCAGCATTAACCAGCAATTTCAACAGCAGAAATCTCACCTGGAGTCTGAAGAAATGTATCAAACATATCTAAATTAAAACACGCTGAACTAGTACAACCTTGCCAAAGCCTACTTAAGCTTAATGTCATGTGTTATCCCTTCCATAACACATACTGTAACTGAAAGATACCTAATAATCTATTTTGTTTAATTAAACTACATTCTAAACTTTATTCCACATTTCAACTGCAACAGAATTAAGTGGCTTATTAGAAAGGACAATGGATCAAAAACATGTATTTTAAAATATTGGCTAGAGTAAAGCATTATCAAACCAAGTAACAAAATCAAAACAAAAAACTAGTTCCTTGATTTATTGTCATTTTTATTTAAGTAAAGCATTTGATAATTTTTTCTTCCCAGAGCTTGAGTTACTAGCTTTGTTTTCTCTGTGAAGGGACACAGGAGAGAGTTCTCTACAGACCTAGCATTTGCCAACACTATCATTTTTCTGGCCAAGTGTGTATGGCCACAAAAGCAGAACATCACAAAACCAAAGTGCTTATACAGTGCTGCATCTCTGGGTCAGAATCTCCACAGGCATTTTTTAGTTCTTTTAACACATAAACAATTAAAAAAAAACCCGAACAGGAAAAAAGGAAAATCAAAGTATTTTTTCAGAAAAACTTCCTTAAAGAAGTGGGAGAAAATGACAATATTATCATACAAGTATCAGTATCTGACCTAGAGGTTAAAAAAAAATAAAATTAAAAAAAAAAACTCTGAAAAGCAGTCAAAGAAAGTAAACAGTTTAAACAAAATACCAATGTTCAAAGACACATTTGAGCCCAATGTGAGACAAAAGGTAAAAATTTTAATGCAAGACACAATAACAGACCAAATCCAAATTTTCCCAGATAATAGTTACTGGGTCGTGCCTACTTACAGCCTGTATAACTTCGGCGTCCCCAGAAAGAGCAGCTCAGAAAGCAACTGGAGGTTATTTCTGTTTAGGCGCCTTTGGAAAGAAAAAGAAAAAGTTGTGTTAAATTACAAATGCTACAACAATGCAATGCAACCACTTTGAGTTGGAATCCCACTGCTGTAACAAGCTGATTTTAAAGACCAGAAAGGTCCATTAGCGGAGACATGGTCCAGTAGTAAATTTGCCATGGACTAATTACATTTTCTGGTTTCCCCCAACAGACCATATTACCTATTTTATGAAAGATTTTGAATCTCTGCAGTGTGAACCAATCACCAAGTCAGGTCTCCATCCCACATAAATAACATGAAAGCTAAAAACACAAAATCAGCAGTATAAACTTAATTCCCTACCAACTCTACGTTCCTCTTAGTGTAATGGAGCAAACAGACATTTTGTGACCATGAAAAGGTTCAAGGGAGCATGTATCAAACATGTAAATATAAACGTATAAACTTTCAGTAACAAGATAATACTATGTCCAAAGAACCATATAACCTATTCACATAAATTTTAAAAAGCATAGGAAGCTGTTACAGAAACCCTGATTAAATAGAAGTCAAAAAACCCCAAGGAATCACAGCTTCTATTTGGCATTACAAGTTTTTGTGTGCAGCTTTTTTTCTTTAATTGTAAAGATAGGAATTTTGAAGAAGCTAAATTAAAAAAAAAACAGAACTCGATCAGATGTACATAAGACAGTGTACAACAGAAAAACTGCAACTGAAATCTGGAAGGTGCCCATTTGTCTGTGAAGATTCTCACTGAGCATGCTGACCAGGGTCACAGCTGCTCACACTGAGGTGACAAGATCAAAGCCCTCTGTATTATACCCATAGACAACAGAACAGCCACTAGCCAAGGCAAATATATTCTACCTTCATGCTTTTTTCTAAACATACAATGCAGATTATTCTTTCTACCATGTGTAAGTGACAGCTCTGGAGCATACTGTCATCCCAGTCAAGAAGTCAAGCCCTAAACAGGTTTTTGGTTGTTTTTAAGCAATGCATCCACCACATGTGGCACCTGCTATTCAAGCAAAGCAACCTACTGGAAAAAACTGTTCTGTCCCATAAAATTTATCACAGGCCAGTTTGCAATTCACAATCCCTCAATAATTCAAGGCATTCATGGAAACCAGACTGCATGGGACTGTCTGATATATACATATATATGCACACACACACATTATATACAAAGATATAATCATTACAGTGGTTACACTACATCAATAAACTGTTTCAAGACATTCCACTAGGTGAAAAAATATACTGGACATCAGTCTTGAAAAATTAAGTTTTCGAATTTCATAAAGGCTCAGATTTTCCAGTTTGTTCGTCTTAGGGCTGAACTTAAATATTCAAGCCTGTTTAGCCTCTCTGGGCTAACTTCTCAATAATGTTGTTCCATATACTGGTCTTTCTAGTTAATGGTTTTTCCAGAAATTCCCATGCAGATACACAGACATTCAGAATCAAATTTTACATAGCTCCATGGTTTTAGTTCGCTTAGCTTTTCTTCCTTTAAAGCTCAATGTGATGAGAGTGAAATATTCTGTTTAATATTTTTATACAGAGGTTTGTTACCAAGTTCAAACACAAACAGTCAACTTTTTGAGTTCTAGATATCCATAATTTTCCAGTGTTAATGTCAGGCTCCTTTCTGTTAGTGAAGCATCAGAAATCCTTATTTCTCTAAGCAGAAGAAACCTAAATCACACTTTTAGAGATTAAAAGAATACTTAGATTGAAAGAACCAGAAAATTAAAGACTACACCACTGGGATAAGAGATGAGTGACAATGCATTCTAATAATTAGAAAAAAAATCTTAATCCAGCAACAACAATAAAAAAAATCTAGATTGTGATTTTGCAAGTCATACATCCAAATAAGTAGAACAAAAAATTTACATATAGAAGAGAGCTATAAACTAATGACTGCTGGAAGGCTTCTGAATTGAACACTACTTAAGAAGAAAACCAGCCCTACATAAATACAAGAAAGTGATACATTTTACTGTTTCTGCATTTACTACATTTTCAAAATAAAATAATTTAAAAATAGACATTTTCTGACCTTTAGTCAATTTATGTATAAAGGTATATGCCAAGACCACAAAACTGAAGTAGGTGACAATTGTTTTAAACTAAGTTATATTTACAATCCAACAAGATTTTGAAAATTAAGGAAATGAACAAATGACTAAGTAAAAAAAAAAGAAAAATTCTTTCACTGCTTCTCTTAGCTAAATAGAAACATAAGCCTCTAAGTCCATGATTACAGATCCAGAATTACATGGAAAAGCATGCAGAGTAAAGACTAAAAAGTCAGTCTTCTAATCAGCTTTTCAGGACAAAAATCTGTTGGTACTTCTTAATAACTCTATTAAGTTTGGACACTAGACAATAATGATGAGCTGTTACCAAAAGGGCAGTGAAATTAATCAGTATCTGTATTTTTGTAGAAGTTTCTGTAGTAGAAATTTTTCCGTATCTGTTTTTTTTTGCATAATATTACATAAAAACCTCTCTAGTACAATGACATAATATTAATTGATGATCAAGTTTATCAGGCAGGCTGCCTTTCAGTCCGTGCAACAACAACCGTAAAGGACACACAGGAACACTCCGAAGGATACTTCACAGGTAAAACACTCACTCTGCTATTTAACATCTTATACAAAGAGTTAACACCTTCCATCAGGAGCTTCTGTTATTACCTGCAGATCATATACCTCACACAGCTGAGTATACCTTTAACACACTGATGCATCTGCCACTCCACAGCACTTTCAAATCTAAGTTATGGACAATAAATCTAGTTGCATTAATTAAACTAGCAATAAATTGCTCTACTCTCATGTCTCAACAGTTTCTACCCTGTGAGCTCGGAACTTCAAATTAGTGTTTCAACACACAAATTTACTTTGCCTTTCACAAGACTAAAATATTTGTTCTTTGAGCACTACACAGATTGAGGGAATACACAAGTTAAATTACTGAGCCCTTATGAATCCTGCATTTTGTATCCTTTATTTTGAATAGCTTTATCCCACTCACTGAATATTCTTTTAGTACTAAGCTCTCTCTACCAAAAAATTTAAATATTCCTTATTGCCTGTGACCAAGAAGATTAAACATTAGTAATTTTCATGAAGGACATAGTGGGAAATATGTCTTTTACTATACTTCAAGAAGATACTTCAGCTACTCCTTACATATTACAAGTTATAGCAAATGCTCTTGAAAGAGTCAATTTGCTTGAGTTTTCTATATGGAGATTTTATGAACTTGACTTCAATGAACTGTATTTTTCAAGACTACAGTAGGTAGTTCTCTAAAAAACTATATGAAAACATAAGTGAATGGGAAAAAACTGTGCAGAGCAAGTCTGAAACAACAGCCTAGTATCACAGTACACAACATTCAACACTCACCGTGAAGAGTTTGTAATGTTTGAAAAGAGCCACACAATGAGTCCAGAAAATACATTACTATTTTAAAATGGTTCAGTATTTTATATGGTTCTCCAACATTTCCACTTTTCCAGGTGACCTGGTGCTTAATTCTGTCTGGAATCAGAGTGAGTGAAAAAGATATGATCCCCTTTTTCTCTCAAACTGAAACCCAAGGTAAGCACAGTGGATCATGGAATCCAGGACTGCAGGTTTTAAAGAACTACAGCTACTTTGAGTAAAAACAACCATAAATATTCCACTACGCCACCTTCCAATGTGTGGTGGCAGACACTTAGCACAGTTACCTAGCAGGCCATGATTTCCCTGGGGCAATGCAAGAATTTTTAGTTTCACCAACTGAACCAGAACTGACATGAAGCTCAAAGTGAAGCACTGAAGAAACAGTGATGAGATATTCCATACTGTGACTATTCAGTTTTCCAACTGAGCAACAAGTATTTGTGTTTCTCAAGCAGAGAGCTCCGAGCAGATGAAGCATTAGTGGTGTAAGCAACAGAAAATGTACTGGAAAATCTATTTTAACTTTGTAATAACTTGGACTGTAAAGTCCTTTGGTAGTGTCCAGAAATAAACAGGCATCATATAATATATGATGAGGCACCAATATAATATATTTCAAGTTACAATTTAAATATACATAATTTTTTTTCTTCTGTTGCTGAATGCATCTTTAGAAAGAGATTAGGCAAACTTAGGTAAGTTTTTGAGCTCTTCACAATGAATTCAAGCAAAGTACACATACCTAAAGCATACAAAGTATTTCAAATACTTCAGAGTTTAAAACTCCCAGAGCTCAGTCTTTTAGACACAGTAAAGACTAGAAAAGCATCTTCAAAGTAAAATGATGGTTGAAGTATTCAAAAGGATTTAAAGACAAATTAAAAATACCTTTGACAAATAAGACGGTGAAAATACTCATTAAAGGAAGCTCAATACCAACAGGCAGACAAAAAGTAAGACCCAACAAAGAGTGAGTAACTCTTTGAACCAGACAACATTAAAGTAAGCAAAAAAATGTGGCTTGATTTAAGCTAGTGGTTCTGAACAACAGGCTATTTTAGTTGAAATTAGTATACATCTGAATTTTACTTGTCTTCTGCATGCAGCCAGAGTATATGTAGATGACAGCAGATAGAGGTACAGTGCAGGGAGAGCACATTACATTCCCAGTAGCAACATATCCCAACCCATTGATGTCTGGCCATGCCACAAGTCCATCCTGATGTCTCTCCCAAGTTTTCACACCACAATAACTATGATCCAGTAGCAATCAAGCATGGAGGAGGAAAGGAGAAAAAAAAAAAATCTTGATTGCACTGGGGAAATGTAATCATCTGCAATTGCTATAATTCACACCCATTTGTTTCAGACTTGCTACAGCCTTCACTGTAACTTGTTTCTGATCCCACTATATCAACTACATACAACCAGAGAAGGTGTAGGAGACTGTAGAGCCACTCTGGAAAAATGAGTTGTTTCTGTGCTTGACTGTCCTTGCAGTGAAGAAGTTTTGCCCTTATGTGTAGTTACACTTCCCAATTTGATTTATGCT